TGTTTCTCTTGTGTTGTCTTTGAACTCAAAGATTCTCATATTCTCATTTTGATATCTTAATTTTCAGCCAAAAAGTATGATGCTTTCCTGGCCTCTGACAGTCTCATCAGACAGATTCCTCGCATCCTGGGACCTGGTCTGAACAAGGCTGGCAAGTTTCCCACAGCATTGACCCACAATGACAACATGGTGCAGAAAGTCGAGGAAGTGCGCTCCACAATCAAGTTTCAAATGAAGAAGGTAGGATGTTCACCAGAAATAAGGCACAGTGCTCATGGTAACTTAATGGGAAATTAAATCAACTAGGGCTATGCATAGGGTTATTGTCTACGCATGTACAGTTCACCTAAGAGATGGTACATTTTCTTGAAACTCCAAAAACTCGCGTAGTAATCATTCCTGGTGAGTAACCGTTTTATGTTAATTAATCACAGAACTTACATTGGTGATGGACAAACATGTTTAGGGGAGAGTAAGTCAGCAGAAAAGATTTTCTTTGAGCACTGGTAAGGCCTTATATTCTGGAAGACCAGGAAACATTTTCTGGTCGGACCTGCACCCAGGGTCTTAAATCTGTGGGGAGACCGTTTGGTCGATAAATATCAAATCACACAATGACTTTAAGTCATCAAAGTGTAACTGTAATGCACATTAAATGTATTTTGGAAGCCGGGGAGGGGGGAATCCTTGGGATGGGATGTGTAAACTTCAATTCATGTCCACTGTGTAGAGCTCTTTTTGATTGAGTATTTCAAACAAAAACTGAGTAATCACAGTGCCAGATCAGAATAAGAACCTTGACATTCAAAGTAAAGAAAAAACAAGCAAACTGGCCACAGCACAGGAAATTTGACTAATCAAGTGATGATTGGTTTCCATGGGGCACCTGATCAGTTTGAAAGAAACAAGTAGTGCACATTTTCAGTCCAATTACAATGCAAGGCTAAGTAAAACTTATGCAATCTTAGATTTCTTTTCACCACTCAAGTGAAGACAGCTCTATGCCATATGCTGACTTATGTTTAAAACAACACTAATGCCTGCCATCTTCACAATAATTGTTTTGCATTACTTATGGTCCATAGGTTCTCTGTCTTGCTGTGGCTATTGGTCATGTTGACATGGCTGATGAGGAACTTGCGGCAAATGTCTATTTAGCTGTCAATTTCTTGGTGTCCTTACTGAAGAAGAACTGGCAAAATGTACGTGCACTCTATATCAAGAGCACCATGGGAAAACCCCAACGTCTGTATTAGGCACTTGTGCGGTACATGTACTTTTAGCCGTACTATGAGCAGTCAATAAAGTGCATTGATATGTTAACCTTTGTCATTTGTTTCAATGGAGAGTGGGATTGAGACTACAGTTGGAAATGCAGATCAATCAGCCTCTCCAAAACGTATTCCTTTTTTTTATCGTTTTTTTTTTTTTTTATGTGCAATGTGCTGGAGGCAATTGTATGTACATAGGCTGTCGAAGCGGCTAAGTTGAAATTGTGTCTCTATATTGATTGTTATCCAACACTTCACACCTGGTAATACATATTGATTGTTATCCAACTTCACACCTGGTTATACATAGGTATTGATTTTTATCCAACTTCACACCTGGTTGAGGTCATTGGGGTTTTCTGTAAAGTTAGGTGCTAATTAGAGACAAGAATAACCTGGGCTGGGTTGTTCAAAAGTAGGTTAAGATAACCCAGGGTTAGTGTGAAATTAATTTCAGATCTGAAAGCTTTAAAAGAAAATTCAGCTTGATTCCTTTTGTCTACAATTTGATGATTAAATGCCCTAAAATAAATTGGGAAAATTATCCCGAAACGGCTTTTTATCAGAGAAATATAGAAACCTGGATTAAGATTTAACCCTGGGTTAGTGCTAATCGGCCTTCAAACAACTGGGCCCTAGTCTTCTGTAATTACAGTAAACTGGTAAATATTCTTTATCCTGTTTTCCTTCTTTCACTTAAACGGAGACCTCGTTTGTTTGATAAAGTAACTCAATGCTAGAAAAAGGTATAGAATGGTCGCACAAGTCATAACTGTCCGTCATGGAATTCCCTCCTTACTGACTCTACTTGTATCTCTAAAAGTTCCTAGTAATGACCTCATCAAGAAAGCTTATTTGTAATATTTTATGTAAGTATAGCAAGAAACAAGTCACAAAAGTATCTTTGACATGTCTCATTATTTTAATGTGTAGATTGCACCTGAGGATAGGGTCTCTCCATTCCTAAGACTTTGATCACCAACTGAAGAAGTTCTTGATTGCTCGACAAATTCTCATTGTCAGCGCTTTAATTAGGAAATGTATGGAGAAAAGGTAGAATATTCATACTGTTGTTAGAGGAATAGAGATTGTGATAAGGCCCTGCAGTATTTTTTTCCTGTCTCCCTTTCCTAAGAGGGTTGTACTTTATTAGACAGGGCATACATTCTGGTCATTGATAAATGGATGAGCTCAAGTCTTGCAATGTGCGTTCTTAGCTTTATTTAGTTACATCATGGTAAAATCCAAATCATCTTTTGTTTGACTCTACGAATACTCTACAACCTAAATGGCTTCCCTTAATAATGGAAATCCTTAAATGTGGGTATGGTAAACAACTCGAAAGAGTCCATCAGGCCATAGTTAATCGGGCTTTCGCATTTAATGGAGTGTTAATTTGCCTAGAATGCTAACACTTACATTTTGACATTTAGCCTGTCGGCCCTAAGCTAAGGGTAGACATTCACTGTTTTTAGCACGTAGATCTATCTTTGATTTATGTCATATTGAATTCATTGATTGCCATTACAAAAGTGATTATCAAGAAATCCAGAAGGAAAATGAATAAAACTTGGGACTCAAAATTAAGTGGCAAAGATGACAAAAGGATGAGTGTTGGCAGACCACATCTTCCAAAAAAAAAAAAAAATTGCCCATTATGCGTTGGCCACTCGTGCACATGATTGGGATATAATTAAACTCCGCACTGGTCTGATAAGTTGAAAGTTAACTTGATAATTTCTTTTTTCAACTGACTTATCTTTGCGTTCTACAATCAGCAAGAGTACTTGGATAGAAAAGAACACCATCCCTGTCAGTTTATCTTTTCTCCGGTAGAACTTATCTTATTCTTGAATTTGTTTCCACTATTAGTATGCACCCTTAAAAGCTTCTTAATCATGAAAGGACTGTTATTTCACACTAGCTCTTGAAATTCACTGAATCGTGAGGTGTTTGTGCGTCACCACATCTTTCGAGCACTTATACATATTTTTGTTGATTTCAGTTAAAACGAGCACAGTACCTAGAACCTACGTATTTTTTATGACGCTGTAAGTCGATTATCAGTTTACTTTCAGAGGTGAGAAAACACAGATTCAAAGGCAGGTGTTGCAGCCATGCCCTCGAGGGACCATAAGAAGAAAATTTCTAATTGCAGGAAATGTCACTGCTGACGTCAAATGTGCCGTCTGTTCTAAGGTTGTTTTGGTGCAAATCACGGTTATTCGCTCAAAAATCATCAAGGCGGGAAAAACCGCAGACAATGGGCACAATGTTTTTGCAGGAGTATTCTAGGTCTATTTCAGTGCATGGAGCGGCAGTTAAGTGGACGTTGTTTGGATCATGAAATCCTCTTCAAGCTGCCCATCAATTCCATATGTTACTAAAGAAACCAAACATCTTTTTGATTATAAGTGTAAATGGCCTGGGTTGAGTTGAGGCAATTTGTTGATGGATAAATAACCAATAGGGCGGAAACCACAGACGTTGACCCAACTTTTTGTCGGAATAATCTACGTTAAATTATTGAGTAAACGAGGTTGAATGGAATTTTTATGATCCGGCTCAGTTTGAAAGATTCAGTGGTTTCTTATCGATTTCACATTTTAATCACTCTGTTAATCATAAGCACGAACAAGTTACATTAGGAAGGCAAATTTGTCCAATCACTTCTTACACCGAACATTCACTGGACCAGGTGTGGTTCACGGCACTCGAATGCTCTTGATTCATTTCCGTTCGCTCCCATTTTTTTCTGATCATTTTCTCATACGGTAGATTGGTGCTTTTTTAGAGCTGATTCGATCAAAATTTCCAACTATACCTTCGAAGCTGAATGGGTGCTTTTAGCCAGAGAAAGAAGGCTTTAATTGTTCAACGAGTAAGGAATGAAAGAAAGCAAAGGAATAGTCATTTGTCAATGCAAATTCTTATGCATTTGCGCCATGATAAATAATAACTTGCCTTTTTCTTTCAGTCTTTAAATTCAACGCCTCGTTGGAAAGAGGCGTGTCGAGTACCAGCACAGGAAAGGTTCTGCCTCAAAATTGAAACGTATCTCGATCTTAGCGAATCTCATACATGGAATGATGAGGAGAGAGAGGGTTTGGGCATTGGCTATTCATTTTAATTTAAGAAAAAACTAGCAAGATACTAATAATTCCCTCTTTAAGTTAGTCTAGAATAAAACTAATTCTATCCATGTGGATCTGTGTAGATATTCCTAGTATCTTCTTTTCATTATTTATTCTTCTTATTATTTTATTTTTATTTTAAATGTACCCGCCCTGATAATACATTTGTTTTGTCTGAAAATAGTTAATAACAACCGTACCAACGCGAATCTCTATAGCTCTTTGAGAACTGCAATGAAGTTTGAAATGTACCTGTTGAAAGAAT